TAAGAGAAGATCGCAATTTAAAACAAAAAGAAAAAAAAAGAACTGTTTTACTATGTTAAGTAATATTCCATAACAGTACCTCTCTTCAAGTAAAGAGTATTTAAACTGAAAAATATTGAGGGTTATTACCAAAAAAAAAAAAAAAAGAGAAGTGAAAAGAAAAAGAAAAAAAATTAAAATGAAAGAATTAAAGTTAAATAAAGCCAAAGAGACGTAAAAGGAATTTAAAAAGAAGGAAAAATGTAATTGACAATGATGTAAAGATTTTTTAGTGTGGCTTATCCACAACTACATTTTGGCGGGAAAAGATAGAAAAGGACTCATTAAACAAATGAATAGAAAGAAGAAAATAAAAAAAAAAAAAACAGATTTGGTGTCATTTCTCCTCTTGCTAGCCACTAAAAGTTAAATTTTATATTTTCACTCAAAGAGAACTCAGCTAAAAAGCAGATCATTGTCAGATTAGTACACCTGTAGCCATATGCAAAAGGTGAAAAAAAAACAAAAAGAAAAGGTCAGTCAATATGATCCCTGCCCACCCAGACACACACACACATATATATATATATATGGATATTTTAAGACATTTTTATGTTTATAGATTCTTTTTATAGATACAAATATTTTAAGTAAATGCTCTGTTTATAATAAACAGTATTAAAGAACATTTACCGGCCTGAATGTCCGAGAAATTTTCACAGAAAATATTCGTCCCACGACAGGATTGGAAACTGTATCCTATACGTCATTTAGCTTGACGTGCCTTTAAGCGATTTGGCCTCAGAGGAGCGTTCGGTTAGCAAGGTACTGTATTTGAACTTCAATCTTCTATGAATCTCTCACGTACATTCATATCTGCTCATGGCGTATCAAATGTAAACAAATGACGTCACACACACACACACACACACATATATATATATATATATATATTGACAGAGATATATTATCCAGAGAAGGAAAAAATGAACGGAACTGTGGGGAAAATAAATGAAAAAATATATATAATAAAAAATAACATAAAAGAATAAAAGACATTTAGACAAAAAAAAATGAGGAGAAGGGAAAGGGAATAGAAAAAAATTAAAATGAAAGAATTAAAGTTAAATAAACTCAAAGATTCTTAAAATGAATTTAAAGAGAAGAAAAAATGTAATTTAAAATGATATAATTTTTACAATTATTTACATGTTGAGAGGCAGGCTCAGAATGTCATTCGACAAAATGTTCGACTTTCCGAGACCAATGTTGTTGTTGTTGTTATTATTATTATTATTATTATTATTATTATTATGATTATTATTATTATTATTCACCGCTATATATTGTAATTATAACTATTATTATTATCATTATTAAACATTCCGAGTTGTTAATGATATCATTTTGGTCTATAAAAAATAAGGTATAAGACGTATTTAAAAATATTTGTGTTTATTATTATTATTATTATTATAATTATTATTTATCAAACAATGTAAGTTTTTGAATACACGAGGTACAATAAGTTATATCAAATCACAACAAGGGCCTCAAACGGAGAACACATTCCTCAACATATATACACTTGCCAAAGCAGCTGATGTTTGGATGATTCCGAGTTGGTATCGTATCCCCAGCTGATCAAGGAATCACAAAAGTGAGAAAAATAATATTCTCATATAACAATAATTAATAAGATTTGGTGCAAAGGCCAGGCACCTTTTATAGTATATGAAAATAGCATATATATTGTATGAAAATAGCATATATATTATATTATATGAAAATAACATATATATTATATTATATGAAAATAGCATATAGATATATTGTCAATATTACTTTTCATTCAACCATAGAACTGTAGGTGTTGTAGCATGCATTCGTTTCAAGTGATCATTCAAAAATATGTATTCATAAATTGAGCGTAAATTTAAGAACCGAAATGTATATACATACATACATACATAAATATATATATATATATATATATATATATATATATATATATATATATATATATATATATATATATATATATATATTGTATTGTATTTATTGTATCAGTCTGACGTTAGAGTGTATATATTGGCTATTGTACATATATGTATATCTTGGATATTATTAGTATTGCTTGAATTTGACATTCAAATGTGAATTAAACGTTCTTCGAATTCAATTTTAAATTTGTTTCTTTTTATATGAGACTTTTATTTTATGTGACTGGAATTTTGCATCTCGTCTTCATTCACTTTTCCACAACGGTAATGTATCGGTACACGTTACTCATAGGTTTTTTTCTTGCATGCGTACAGTGACGTATTCGAAATATCTCATAGTTTGGTTTCACTAATGTCTTTTAAACGTGACTTTATTTGAAGGTATCATAAAGAATGGTGATTTTAAAAGAAAATAAAATTTGCACGCAAAATAAATGTAAGCAAACTACGAAGATCGGTTGCGTATACGAAGAACGATTAAGTCGAATAAAGATAAAATGAGTTTATCATTTATAAAGTTTTATAACTTTTACGCACATATATCGATGAAGGTAAAAGGTCGAAGTCCCAAAAGCCCTCCTCGGAAACTAGCGTAAAGTACACCCGAATGGCGGGTTCTCAGTTAGTAAGAATAATAATCCAATGTGATTCCAGTTGTGAGCGGCGCATTGAGACCAATCTCATGAAGATTGTGTGATTCCTTGACCAGCTAGGGATACTATACCAACGTGAAATCATCCAAACTTGTTTTGGCAAGTGTACATATTTTGAGGAAAGCATTCTCTGTTTGATAACTTATTGTACATTTTCGTCTTCTGAAATTTGGTCCACTTTGATTCTGTTATTTACTATATAACGGACAGCCTAATGTGTTTGTGAGTTCGTAGACAGAGCCTTTCTTGGCGGCTGCTGGCTGTCATCTCTTCGTTTTGCACGTGTGCGTGGATGTGCGTCAATGGGAACGTGTATATCAAACTGGCCTCCAATATTGTATGCTTCTATTTTTATATCCTTAGGGGAGATCCAAATTTAATTTCACATAGAGTTGTTAAACTTTTTAAATACAAGGTTTTCATTAATTAGAAAATAATTTCACACTGGTTCGCGAAAATCTTTTTTCTCGAATTTACGGGAGTGTGTAGAAGGAAGTCAATATTTTTATTTTCTGAAAGGTCCAAAAAATAACAGGTGGCAGATCTACCACTATGCCAACAAGTATTTTGGCGGTATTTGCTCTGGAAATTATTGTTTATCAAACAAAGCTTCTGCTGGGATTTAATTAGTTGAAAAATATACATAGGAATTAATTTTTATAAGTTTTTATCATGAATTTCTTTTTAATTTTTTAAACATTTCACTTTGCAGAAATGCTTATGATCCTAAACACGCATGTAGACTTGGGATACTTTGGCCCAACGACAGGAAAATAAACGTTTTATCTTGGCCTGTGCTTAGTCTATACATGAACACAATAGAAAATCTGTCGCAATAATTTAAAGTTGAGGTTAATTCAAGACAACCTACATATTTAGAAGACATAGAGTGTTATGCTTTCGAAAAGGACAGAAGTACGAAATTTCATAACTAAAGAAAACATTTAAAGATATTGAAAAGAAAGTCTAATTTTTTTCGAATTTGATTATAAGTATTTATTCGATGATATCATATTTTAATTTTCATATATAAGAATATTTTTCCGTATTTGAATAATTAAATATATTTCAATGAAATTGATTGTAGTGAACGGATATATATCCGTTTCATTGTTGGTAGATGGAGGTGGATAGGGTATATAAGCAAGGAAAATGGAGTCAGGAGAATTAGTTCCAAGTACGGATTATTCTGTAGAGGTCAAGTTTTGCACTTGAGCTTTTATAAAAAATGAACGATTCCACGTCTCCTGATTTTGTTGAGGCTGGCAAACGGCGACGGGCAAAAGAGGAAAAGCATTTCAGCAACCATTTCGAATAACCATTTTTTTTTCTTTTCAAACATTGTCAGGAAAAATATTGTGCATATTGTCAGTCTAGATATGCGACACATCCACGACGCGACACACAGAGCCAAAAACACAGATACACACACAAGCACCCCCCCGCACACACACACACACACACACACACACACACATATATATATATATATATATATATATATATATATATGATGAAATACAAAAGTGAAAATGAAAACTAGTTTTAACGTCGCGTTTCGTCTTCTGATCGACTTTATCAAGAGAACGGTAAGGATTTTATTTTGCAATCAGTGTTTATAAACAGAATTAAAAATATCGTTAGGTTTTCATTTTTTTTTTAAATTTAACAACTCTCATGATTATTTTTCATATTAATTGTGAAAGTCAAGGTAAACTATGGAAGATGCAAAAGGAAATAATTTAATGCCTCATGAACAAAAGGGGGTAAATGTTGTTGTTATTGTTAATAGTTTTACAATCAGAGGACGAAAGGTAACGATAAAAAATAGTTTTCCTTTTGTCTTTGTCCACATTGTCTTTTTTTAGATAAAGTTAAAAACATATCTGAATTTTTGCATACACACACACATGTATATATATATATATATATATATATATATATATATATATATATATATATATATAGCGTCTTTATTAAGATTTCTCGCGTGCGCTGGCTAATGGATGTAATACACACTATTTAAAATAAAAACGTGGCGTCTATTTCACATACGAGTTGCCAATAAAAATAAAGAATGAAGAATATATGTATGTGTGTGTGTGTGTGTGTTTTAAAATCTAAAATTAACTCTAAAATATTCATTGTATAATATACAGTCCAAAATAATAATAATTATCACTGAATTAAGTACATTGATACGGGAGTGGTGTGTTGAAAATAAAATATTTTATTTATGTACATAATTATATTCTCTTAAAATTTAATATATACAGGGAAGAGCATTCTTTATCATAGATAAAGCCTAGGTTGATTTTAACACTGTGGATATTGATAGAAATCAACACTACATGGCTACTGGCAGTCTCATGGTTGGATATTTGCTCAAGTGCTGAAAATGCCAGTCGGTATAACGTGTTGATCTCTATTCCACAATACTTTCTTTCTTTCTTTCTTTCTTTCTTTCTTTCTTTCTTTCTTTCTCACTCTATCTACGTCATATATATATATATATATATATATATATATATATATATATATATATATATATATATAGAGAGAGAGAGAGAGAGAGAGTTGGCAAAGTGGTCCATACTGATCGGTGAAAATCTGTTTCAGCGGTGTTAACCTTGGTGTCCATTTTACATACGTTATATCATTGATATTAAACACTTTTACCCATGAATATAGAATGCATTAAAACAGTATTTTTACTATATATATATATATATATATATATATATATATATATATATATATATATATAACAACTTTAAAATAAGGAGATCAGCTGATTCCGCTACCTTGGTTTCAACCTTACGGCATGATCAGGCGATTTTTACCAATTATTAAAAACTCTACATGTTATTTTTTGTTTGTTTGTTTCACACGCCTACTAAGCACTTTTTAATACTACTGTTTCTTGGTCTTATTCAACTATCACCATTAACCTTATATATATATATATATATATATATATATATATATATATATATATATATATATATATATGTGAGTATATCTATCTATCTATCTATCTATCTATCTATATATATATATATATATATATATATATATATATATATCAGCAATCATACTACGTGCAATTCATAATTACAAAATATACCCAGTCTCACGATCCCTGGCCACAATGATGAAACTTGTACAGTCATCTATATTTCATTGTTTTTATGTTTTCACACTGAGAATCTGTGACATACAGAAACAGTCTGTCTGTGGATGACTATCTATCTATTCTATCTATCTATCTATCTATATATATATATATATATATATATATATATATATATATATATATATATGAAAGAAAGATAGAGATAGCTATGTATATGGTTAGGTATTGAGAAATTCATATAGACTACTATATATATATATATATATATATATATATATATAGATAGATAGATAGATAGATAGATAGATAGATAGATCATAAAAAATATATTTAATTTTACAACTCTCACAAGGCATATCGATGTCAAAAAAAATAAGGGGTGTCCACCTACCTGACGAGCTTATGTAAATGGACTACGGAACGTGTGGCGTGAGTGTTGCCGAAGGGATAAGGAGTGTTAAAGCCAACGAAGGATATGAAGTTGTGGAGAGCCATGATTTACCACCCTCTAAAGGGACACGACACATAAAAGAAGAATAAAGTGTGAACATGCATTTGTACCTGTGTGTATATGCCAATAAATTTGTTGAGATTTACATATCTCGGTCGAATATCTTCGATGCCGAAGTTTACAAGATAACGATTTTGAATTTCCAGGTAGGCAAATCACAACTTATGCCAACGCTTTTTTTCTTTTCTCTAGTTATTCTTAGCTCAATAAATCTCGCCTCAAATTACTTTCTCTCCTTCTCTATCCATCTCTTCTCCGCCCGTTCAACTCTTTTGTTTGCTCTCTCGCTCTCTTTCCACCCATCTGATTATTTATCTCTTTCTCTCTCCTAGTGTCCGTCTTTTATTTTCTCCCTCTCCACATTTTCAGTCTTATTGACTCTTTCTCTCTCAATCCATCTGACTTTTTCTTTCTCACTCTCTTCGTCAGCCAGATTCTTTCGTTAACTTTCTCTCTCCCCGCCTATCTGAGTGGATCTTTTTCTTTGTTTGGTTACATTCCACCTGTTTTTCTCTTTCTTTCTTTCTTTCTTTCTTTCTTTCTTTCTTTCTTTTTATTTATCTATCTTTCTATCTATCTATCTATCTATCTATCTATCTATCTATCTATCTATCTCTCCGTTCGTATTAGTGTTTATTTCTCTTCCTTTCCTTCCTTGTAATTATTTCTTCCTGTCCACGTCAATTCTCTTTCTCTTTCTCTTTCTCACTGATATCCCGTTGCCTCTCTCTTTGTCTTTCTCAGTTTCTCCATCTCACTCACTCTCTCTCTCTCTCTCTCTCTCTCTCTCTCTCTCTCTCTCTATCTATCTATCTATCTATCTATCTATTCCTCAGTCTAACCATCTCTTTCTATCTCATCGTCCGTCTGTTTTCTCCCTCTTTCTCCGGCAGGCTGTCTTTCTCTCCCCTCTCTCTATTTCTCTTTTAACCAGACTCTCTACTTCTCTCTCGCTCTACTTAACTTTGACTCTCTTTCTCTTTCTCTCCCTCCCTCTCTCTCTCTCTCTCTCACACACACACACACACACACACACACACACACACACACACACACACACACACACATACACACACACGCACACACATTCTCTCTCCAACTGTCTAATTTTCTCTCTTCATCTCTCACCTCCCTTTCTCAATCTCTCTTTTTCTACATATCTTTATGCGGGGGTGGTGGGTGTATTTACATGCTGTAGAAAACGTGTGCAAAATCCGACTCTAGTAGGCACAAGTTTTGCAACATTTGAATAATAAAAAAAAAAAATGTAAAATACACATTGATCATCTACTCTTTTACACGTTACAAAATATCGACTCCACCAACATCACTACAACGATCTGTCATTCAAGAGACCGCATCGGCATTCGAAGCCACAGGACTGGAAGCAGCAGCAGCAGCAGCAGCAACAGCAGCAGCGGCAGGCGGTAAATCGAATAGGCAAGCCCTAATAGGGATGGCGCGACCCGCCTTCGCAACGCTATATAAGATGCCACGCGTTCTGTGGAAGATTCACAAATAACAGGTGCGCACAGACTATCCAGACTTTGGAGCAACAATTCGCACCCAACAGTCAACCATATCTACACAGCATCGTCCACCTGCAATATAAACAACACTACAACTACCTAATAAACACCAGCATCACATACACGACCATAATTAAACATTAAAAGAAACAAAACCTCACAATCTATAACCAACTGACTACGACTGTCACCACTGCTACAGTATTTAAAAGCGACACTTTATCTCCGCTACGAGAAGCAGAGTTGTTAACGGGCGACTTTCTCTTCCATTCGCGATTCTGAAGTTTCCCATGATATATTTGAGAAATCTTTGAGCGCAAATCAACATCTTCCAGGTATGTGAACGGGTTTTTTATTTATGAAATATACGTTTAAAAATGAAAGCATGAAATGAGTAAACAGAAAAGACGCTAATTTAATAAAAGAAAATATACTTTGATTTAAAATTAAAAACAAAGAAAACAAAAACAAACTTTTTATAGGTATATATGCCAATATAAATTGATCCCTTTCATTGAAAAATATTTGATTGTTTTTAATAAGTATATATATGTGTGTGTATGTGTATGTGTACGTGCCTGTTCACGGATATGTGTTTTCATATATATATATATATATATATATATATATATATATATATATATATATATATATATATATATATATATATATAATATATATATATATATATATATATATATATATATATATATATATATATATATATATACACACAAAACACACACTCACAGATAGAGATCTTGATAGAATTAATATATAGACATTCAATAAATGCCAAAAGTTGAATTATCTGAATTATCAACAAGTGTTTAATGTTCAATTTTGATAAATCATTATACAATCATTTATCACGGTCTCCATGTGATACACTTGAGTCGGTCAATCAGATGCGCCTATTGAACTTTTGTCGATTTATTGAACATTATTGGTCTTCTGAGTGCATTACGTCAGTTGTAATGGCTGGAAAAATACGTTAAATTCTCATAATTTTCTATTATTATTATTATTATTATTATTATTATTATTATTATTATTAACCCTACCCACACAGGTACAAACACACAGACACACACATACACATATGTATGTATGTATGTATGTATGTATGTATGTATCTATCTATCTATCTATATATATATATATATATATATATATATATATATATATATATATACACACAGGTAAACATACGCACATGCACACACACACACACACACACACACACACACACACACACACACACATATATATATATATATATATATATATATATATATATATGTGTGTGTGTGTGTGTGTGTGTGTGTGTATATATATTAATAGAGATGGAAGTGTGGGATGGTTGATCTTTAAGTCCACAGCCTGTCATTTCATTAGCTAAACTGTGATCTGAAATTTTATTGTGTATCGTCTAATTTGATATTAAAATTCATCAAGAAAGTGTTGATTTAAAAAAAAATAATCATTAGGTTAAGGACTTATTGATGTATCCATGCATATATGTACGTGTGTTTGTGTGCGTATATGTACAAATGTGAGTGTGTATATATATTTATAAATTCAAATTGATTTACTAGCACGTCCCAACTTACCGACCACACGTGCGCACGGGCAAACGCACTCACACACACACATACATATACACGCACACATAAATATTAATTCAAAAATGTATACAGGGTATTGCATAATGTTTATACAAGCAATACAATACGATTTGTATGTAACTTTTGTTTTTCATTTAATTACTGTATACTTATTTTTGCCCAATCTGTATATATTGCAACATAATGGCAGATATAAAATATTTAATGCCACTACTTTCATATATATATATATATATATATATATATATATATATATATATATATATATATATATGTGTCTATATATATATATATATACACGCATATATATATATATATATATATATATATATATATATATATATATATGGGGTGTATGTATGTGTGTTGTTTGTATCTCTGCTATAATAGGTAGATGATAATTTCTCTACTGGACTTAATTATGAATTTCATGACCACATATCAGAGTACCTTATTTTCTTAAGTGAGACAAGACGAGTACTTTTCAGCATGTCTACTATATATATAAATGTGCGTGAGTGTTATTATTATTATTATTATTAAAATTATATTCCTTATTTCTGTATATATTATCATTACTACTTGTAGAGTCTCTATATCTGGCCGAATTTACCTTGGCACAACTTTTTAGAAAATTGCTTCATTTCGCAACCTATTCCATTTCCCAGTCAAGATTTTTAAACTTTTCGATCGAAAATCCGAGATAAAATAATTTCCAAATAAAATCGTTCAGATATTTATAATTTTAAAATGATAATTTATGAAATAAATTCAGTGCCGAATATATTATCCAAGATTTGAAACCGGACAGTCGGTATTTTAGCAAGAATAATCGTAACTTAAATAATAACAACTAACATAAAAATATTAAAGAAAACAATGATAACAGCGAAAGCAACATATATTTTGAGAGAATCAATAGATTGATATGGAAAAATATTACAAGGAAAATAACTTTTAATGATCCCAATATTAAATAAGTTCAAGAAAATTGAAATGAAAATGTTTGGGCCAAAACGAAAAAAATATATTCTTTTCTGATATTTTACACGAAGACTTCTTAATTTTATTATTGAAATTTCTAAACTGATTATTCTGTTTATATTCATTTTTACTTTCATTTATATGCAATAATAATAGAATTATTTCCATTTTTATCATAATCATTACTGCTTTTGTTTCTCTTATTTCTATAACTGTTAGCCTTTGCTGGGAATTATTCTTATAGGGAAATTATTTTGTTATAACATTATTATTCTTGATTATTATTGTCATTGTAAAAATAATAACTAGTTTTTTTATTATTATTTGAGGTATTAACTCTTTATATTTAGCAAACTTTATATCGTATCTACTTCATATCTTATCGCCTTCCGATATTTTTATGATTATCAATAATTACAACGATTATGTTGAATGTCTTTACTATTATGGTAAAAATAGTCTGGAATTAATATCGGTGTCTCTACTCCTTGAGGTTTTACTTCTTTTGGATATAACTAGAGTTTAAGTGACAACAGTTTCCTACAATATTCCAATACTCTCCTCATTATTATTATTATTATTATTATTATTATTATTATTATTACTTCCTTTGATTTCTGTTGTATACACATTTCCATCCGGGTCCCGACCAGAGAGCTAAGGTCAGAAATGGCTTCAGGGCGTTTTCATTATTCGTTTTTGTAAAAAAAAAAAAACCAAAAAAGCACAAAAAATTAAGATCACACAAATTTTACATATATAAAGCTCTTTTTAATGTGTGAGTTGTACGTGTGATTTTTTTTTATTTAAAGAATAGGCGAATGAATAGGAATACATTCAATGAGTCTACGAGAACTTTTTCCAATCAAACCGAGGGCTCCATCTACAACTGGAGTTATTGCTGTTCACATCTGCCACATTTTTGAGATTTTCACTTCAAGATCATTGTATTTTGATAATGTTTGGAAGATCTTCAAAGTACATTGCAATCTACATCGGCTTCTATGTCCATAACAAAGCATATTCTGTTCTTGTGGTCTTGGATCACGATGTCTGGGCGATTAGATTTTATTGTTTTGTCTGTGTATATTGAAACATCCCATAAAATTGTTACAAGTTTTATCTCTGGAACAGGATGTGGGTCATACCAGTTTCTTTCAGTTTTCTACCCTTAAAAATTGCATATTTTCCAGTGCATATAGTGGACATATCTATCATGCAGAATTTTATATCCACTAGGTGCTAACCCTGTGCAATCTAAAAGATGATCAATTGTTTCTGGATATTTATCACAGAATTTGCATTTGGGGTCAAGACAATTTTTCAGTATGTGTGATATTATTATTATTATTATTTGGTTTCTGGTATATACTCATTTCTTTCCGGTTCCCGACCAGAGGCCTAAGGTCAAATTTGGCATCATGACATTTTCCACTGAGCAGTTTTGACAAAAGATCGCATATATTTTACATAGATAAAGCCCTTCATAACGTGTGGGCTGTACTTGTGAGTTTATTATTACCATCATCATCATCTACGTCTTCTTCATTTGTTTCCTGTTCTGTACAATACTTTATTGGCTCCTCACCCGAAACCTGGGCTAAGGAAATCCAGTGTGAATATATACATTCTTTTTGCATATATTCTGATGTTATGTGATATTTAACATGCATTGTTAATATGATCTTTACACTAATAAT